AAAGAAAGAAAGAAAGAAAGAAAGAAAGAAAGAAAGAAAGAAAGAAACGAAAAGAAAAGAAGAAGGAAGGAAGGAAGGAAGGAAGGAAGGAAGGAAGGAAGGAAGTAGTCTTAATATACTCAACAAGCAGAAAGTTAAGCCTCTTTCTGCTTTCAGTGTAAAACTCAATATATGGTTTCCAACCACCAATAATGTTCTCACCCTTCCTTTCATCTTGGCATTACAACATCCATGGCTGGTCCAGTGGGTCTAATTTTACTTCATAGCAAAGAAAAAGATGTTATCAAACCTATAAAGAAAATGAGCCAACTTGGCCAACTGATTTTGGCTTCCTGTCATTCCCTTTTTAATGTTATTTCTGCTTCTATTTCAAAATTTCACCAGTATTCCAATACTCTGATTTAGCTTCTAGATGCCCATGAGGGATCTATCAGCATTATCTTTTTGCATGAAAACTGGAAACTCTCGAGTCAAAGTAAATATACTTTCAGGCATACAGCAACACTTCTAGTTGTAAAAAAATCAATAATAATAAAAATTATCAGTATATAAAATATAAGTGTCTTTTTAAACAGAGTACTGTACACTAAAACATCAGCATTGCCAGCTGGGTCAATGAGGTCAAACAGTATACAAAGCTGGCTGCTTCATTCAATTAAATTGCATGATGGGCTGTAAGTTCCCGCATCTCCCCAAGCAGCAGGAGCTCATAGTCAATGCATTAAGACAGGCGTATTATGGATAGATCCTTGAATTTATTGAGCATGTCTGGGCAAGGAGAAGAAGAGACAAGCTAAATGAAAACTCATGATCTCTGCATGACCTTATGAATGCCAAGGTGTTTAGAACAAGAAACAGAAGATACATATTTCAAAGCAAAAAAAAAAGCTATGACTTAAATTCAGTGATGATGTTTTAGTAATGATGGTCTTTTTCTGGTCCACTCCAGCACTGCTTTGTTATCTGTTCACTAAGCTAATAATGGTTGTGAGGTTTTCCATAGAATCCAATAGATTAATCAACACTGAAGTTTAGTTGATTTAATCTGAATATTGTTGATTAAGAAGAGATTGGAGAACCATTTGTCTGAAATATTATAGGTTTCCTGCTTCTGCAGGAAGTTGTAGAAGACCTCCATTCTACTGCACTAATGAAAAATTCTCTCTGGAGAATTTTAGCAATGTCCTATCTATATCTGTCATACAGTGAGGTTTACTCTCATGGAGGTAGGTGCTAAATGAATCAGATTTTAACATCATCATCACCATCATATCATATCTGGACTTGGATACAGACCTGCTTTTTGCCCATCTCATCATCTGAGTATTTTGCCTTCTTTTTTGCTTCTCTTCTCTCACAATTTCAACATTCTCTTTCTACACAGGAAGTTGGAAAACAATATTTTTAACTGCAGCTGTGATATCCGTTGGATCCAGCTGTGGCAGGAGAGAGAAGAAGCCAATTTGCAGAACCAGGACTTGTACTGCACTAGCATGGAGACCAGCCACATACCCATACAGGAGCTGAATATCAACCAGTGCGGTAAGGAAGTGCATATAATTGGGCACCTGTTGATCTTCAAGCATTGTTATCCTTCCTTCTACTTCTGATAGTCAGACTTTGAGTCACTGCTTTTGTAGACCAAGGAGCACCATTACCAATGCAGCTAGGATCAGCATGCTCAAAGGAACTCCACAATCACAGGAATATTGGTGTGGGTGTGTACAGAGTTGTAATGACTGTACCTGGAAATCCAAAAATTCTGCAGCATATGCGTTTTCCAGGGCTCATTCAATCCTGATTATGTCTGGAAAACTGAGGAGACTGGCAAACAAGAGTGAGGTGCAATGATGATGATGATGATGATGATGATTATATTTCTTGCTAATTACTACTGAGTGATATGCATCAGTGAATAAGAATTACAGAATTGAGGTGCATACAGAATTAATAATTTTTCAAGAGACCAGGAGATAAATCTGCCTTAAGATAATTAGAGAACATGTTTTTCCCACATCCCTTAATTGATTCACTATGCATCAATGAACCTCTGAACCATTTTCATTACACATACATTTACCCCTGGTTGGGCCCATTTAATATCCCTCCCTGTCT